CACCATGAGCAAAATCTTTGTTGTTATCTAAGTAATTATTTCTGATTTCATTTTTCCCAGATCCTCTTTTGTTGTCAGTTCAGAGAGTCCAGGTGGTTGAGTATCAGATTGTTCCATCTCGTTTCCCTTTGGGGTTGTTGTAGGTGATCCAGAAGTCTGTTTCTGAGGCTTGTTTATGTGTCTTCTCATTTCCACGGGTTGGGGTGGGGGTGCTTCTGGCGCCTGCATGGCTCACCTTCTCTGCCCTAGGAGCTTGGGATGGAGGTGGGGGAGCTTCCTTCCGGGTGCTGGGACTGGCTCAGCTTCTCTGCCCTAGGAGCTTCTCATGAATGTTATTTTTAATCCACTTAGATTTGGGGATCCGTAAGTCAGGAATCAATGGTATGTCCTGCCCAGTCCGGAATCTTCCTTGTCACAAGCACCAATGAGTGCTAATCCTGTTAATTTTTACCATCTTTATCTGATGATCCTTACTTGGAGCCTGAGGGAACCATAATCTTAAGGAGCCACATTTCTGGGAAGAATGTAGAGAAATGAGGAGAGTTCAGGGAGATCACCTAGAATTCCTGAAATGCTGAAATTTAGAGCCAAGAAGGTGTATGAGGGTGCTATGTTGAGCAGGACTCTTAGTCATTTTCCAAAAATTAAAAGAAGTGCCATAGTTGGGTTCCTGGATGTCCCCAAAAGTCCATGTGTTAAAAGCTAGCACTGTTGGGAAAGGGTAGGGCCTGACAGGGCTGCCTTAGGTCACTTAGGACACACCTTTGAAAGGGGTTGCAAACTCCTGCCACCCTCTTCTTTCTCTTTTGCTTCTTGGCCATGAGGTGAATGCTTTTGCTTTGCCGTGTGTTTCTGCCACAATGTACCATCTTGCTGTAGGCTCAAAGCCATGGGACCAATTGGTCAGGGACTGGAAACTTTAAAATTGTGATCCAAAATGAACCTTTTCTCCTTATAAATTAATTTTCTTGGGTGTTTTGTTATAGTGATGGAAAGCTGACTAATCAAGAAGGAAACTTGCGTATAATTGTACAAATAAAATGAAGATTTAGGAAGTATATGTATATGTCCACTTTTTTGTTGCTATAAAAAATTCAAGACCAGGTACTTGATAAAGAGAAGATGTTGGGGTTGTGTAGGGCCCAGCAAAGTGACATCTCAGAGGCTGAGGACAAGGGCAGCTTCCTGTTCACATGCCCCTGGGTCTGTGCACTGGCAAGATAACATCCAGGGAATAAGTCACTGTTGCCACGGAAACTCAAACTGGTTCCTTTTCCTTCTCGTGCAAGAATATAAGTAACAGGAGCAATAGAAGTGAACATGTCAAAGTACTGCCTAGCAGCCCTGCCTGAAATTGTAGGCAAATACAGGATGACTTCTTGGGCTCCTTTCAAACTGGCAACATTGTATAATAATAGCTCCTTTATGAAGCCCTTGGTCTATGGGAGGAACATCTGTCCCCAAATAAGGATGAGTCCTGGAGTGAGTGGAAGCCATTCTGTGAGGTCACCTACATGACTGACCCAGAGTCCCTTAGCCAAGGACAGCACTGGACACTGAGGCCAGATTCTGCCTACACGTGGGGCTCTTGCCCCACTATCCTGACAGTGACTTTGGATCTCAGAGCTGCCTGAACAAACTCCAAGTGCACCCCACCAATTCCTAGCTGCTCTGAGGGTCTCTCCTCCATCTATGGATGCCCGTGCTGAGGCCAGGGCCACTGTAGCAGGGGGACCCTTGTGGTGGCTCAGCACCTTGTCTGTGCATCGCAATTACCTGGGAAGTTTTGTAAAAAGCTTGATGCCAGAATCCACGCCTAAAAGATTTTGACTTAATTGGCCTTCGGTGCAACTTCAGCATAGGGATTTATGTTTAACTTTTTATTGAAGTGTATTACACATGTGGAAACGTGCAATACCCAAGTATGCATCTCAATGGATTTGTCCCAACTGAAGGTACTGAGGAACCACCCCTTGGCTTGAGAATTGGAACTTTGCTGGTGCAGAGGGCAGGTCATATTTCAGTCCTCCTGCACTGCACTTCTACACACACACACACACACACACACACGAGCATGCATTACCCTGACTTCTGACAACGTAGGAAGTGCAGGCTTAGGGACTTTTTTTTAAACTCTCCACTTCCAGTGTGTAGCCAAGACTGAGAACCATTGTCTCGCTGGTTCAAGCAGGCACAAAGGATAAACTAACCCACATGTACAGACACAAGTAAAGCAAAATAAAGTGAATCAGAAGAAAGTCACACTATGCTCATGCCTCCACTTTGGCTGCTGCATGTGTGAATCTTCACAGCAGCAAGGCAACGGGGATGGAAAACATGTTGGCTGTTATTTTAAACAAGATCCTTCATTTATAAACAACAGTTCTTTTCTCAGCATTTACTTCTCAGTGCAAGAAGACCTGGCTTCTGCCGAGTTGCCAAAATGATGTTTGCAGGTAGCAAGAAAACACTGAGAGTACTTCTTTATGTACCAAGCCCCCGCAATAAGTCCTGGGTGCATTATCTCATTAGATCCTCGCAACACCCAATAATAATAGGTTCTCTTGTTTTCCCTGTTTTACAGGTGAGGAAACCGAGGTGCAAAGAGATTAAGTCACCTGCCCACAGGTGTACAGTGAGCAGCTGGCCACCTTCCCTTGCAGGGGTTGTTTTTGCTGTAACTCCACTGTGGACTGATTTGAAGGGTCTGTGCCAGATACCCTGTGCTGTTCCACCCTGACAAAGGTAAAGGCTGCACTGATTTTATTCTTGCAGTATACAGGGAAGGAGCTGGGATGGTTCCATCCAGAAAAATCACAGAATCACCGATGAGTGCTGGGGTGGACATTGGTGATCACCTCCTTGTTTCACCTCCTTGTTTCACAGATGAAGAAATGGGTCAAAAAGAAGATAAGAGTTGGGGAATAATTTAAGCTGAATGAGGGAAAATTCAAGAAAGTCCAAACAAATCTAGGGAAAAGCCAGGTACAGCCCACATTAGGCAGCTGGGATCGGATCTGGTTTTTTCTCATGCTCAAGATACACAAGTTGATGACACAATTTTGTAGCGAGTGTTATTCAGTGTAACACAGCATGTTCATGTGTGAACATTATTATTTGTGCAATTATAACAGTTGCTGTGTAGAGAGCTCATAATCTAAACCAGATAGAGAAGATGATCACAAAGGTATTGGGGCTGGAAACTGGATTCTCTGGGGTTTCCCTGATTATTCAGTTTGTTTGGATTTCATGTTGTATGCAATTGGCCTACCAGAGTATTTATTCTGGCAACGGAAGTAGCTGGGTGTGTGAAAGAAATCTCTCTGAGAAGTTTTCAGTGAAAACTCAGTGTTAAATGTGTAAGTCTTCCTCCTCAAACACTTCCAGAAAGCAAAACCAGTCTCGGGAAATGTAAGGCTTATGGTTTTCCCATATTTCTCCCATAGGATGTTTTAGACTTTCTTGCTATTGTTAAAGCTTTTCTCCTCTTTCTGCTTTAGCTCTCTCTCTCGCCTCCACAGGCTCCTAGCTACTCTTCAGTTACCTACATTTCTTCCTGCTTTGTTCATCTTCCCTAGTCTTTGGCATTAAATTCCTTTTGAGCCAGAGTATCTGGTCTGTTGCTCTCTCAGGTTTTTTTTTTTTAAGAGCAATTTTCCCAGTATAAATTACACCTTCAATTACTTTTCTCTCACTAGAGCAGTGAATCATATTCTAAGGAGCTGTTGGGTGGGGGCAGCTGAATGCAGAGGGGGAGCCAGGAGGTGTGAGCCAGTGCAGGCTTGTCAACCCCTTTCTCTATTTACCCTGTGAGCCAGGCCAGTGTGCAACATTTGTGTTGAAGTCACCAGTAATGGATGCACCCATTGCTGCCACTCATGTGCTTGGGGTCCCCCAGGCTTTAGAAAATGAGCCTGTGCTTGGAGACAAAAAAGAAATGAGCTTGATCCAGGAAGGCTGGATGTCTGAAGGCTGTGGTGGTTAGGGTTGGTGCCCATGTTCTTCCCTCCACACTAGTGCCCCCTCCCATGTGGCTTTGCAGTTCCTCCCATGGAGAGAGGGGTGTATTCTCCACACGTTGAATCTGCTCATGACACCTGCTTTGCAAATAGGATTTTAGTAGGTGAGATACAAGCAGAGGCTTGAAAACATGCTTCTGCAATCAGTCTAGCTCTCTTGCATCTCTGTTATTTCGGTGAGAAGAGGATGCTGGGCTACTCTGCTGGTCCGGGATGTGGGAGGAGAGATACTGGGGCAGAGCTGCACCCAAGGAAGCTGCCCCCAGCCCAGCTCAGCCCAGCCTAGGACAGAGCTGCCCAGTTGACCTAGAGATGCATGAGCAAACCCAGCTATGATCAGCAGGTCTGCCTAGGTGGCCCCCAGACCAGCTGCTGATGCAAGAGCTCAAGGAGCAAGGGATTGTAGTTTTAAGCCTCTGAATTCTCTGGCTGGTTGCTGCCTAGCAATAAGATGATGTCATGCCCTCTGAGACCATGAGGATGATTATATGAGCAGCTAGAAACAAAGGGACTGTGCAAATGTACAGCTGTGAGGATGTGGTCAGGGTGGAATGGCTCTGGACTTGCACCATTAAGACTTGAGTTCAAATTCACTCCCACCCTCATCTCACTGTAAACTTGGGCAGATCATTTCACTTCCCATAAAAGTACAAGAGCTTACTTGTAGACTTAAAATGTGACAGCATGAGATGTAGGAAAACTAATATGGGTCCCAGAAGTGCACTTGCAGAGATTTAAGAAAGGGCTTAGAAAGGTGGGAGCAAGCTTAGAGGGTATTTTATTTGGGTATAAAATGTTACACCCAAACACGTGGGGCCAATCTATTGAGTTGTGAACTGGTTGATTTTGAAAAGTGTTTGATCAAGGCTGACAAGTAGATTTGGAGCCCAGATATAAAATAAAGTCTTCTCTCTTCAGCGACCGAAGATGTTGTCCTGGAAGTGTGGGATATGTGAATGTACACAGAGGAGAGAGGCCCTGAAAATTACTTATAGAAGGCACCTTCCTGGTAGCTCTTCACTTGAAGTACAGCAAAGCTGGGACCAATTGTGAAGCACTCAGCTAAGAGGAGAGAAAATATGCCAGACTAGTAGTTAGGTGGCTGGCTGAGCGTCCTTCTTCGTTCCTTTAACTTTTCTTGGACAAGTCACCTATCTAACAGACAAGTGGTGAATTATGATTCATTCATTGTTTGATTACGTGCTCCTTCCAGGAACTTCTCTGGTCACTGAGGGTGTAACAATGAAAAAAACAGTTCCTAAGCTGGCTATCATTAGACTAGATGGATTTCCCATACATTGTCATTTAGGTCAAAATATATATATTAGAGGGCTGGGGATGTAGCTCGGTGGCACTGCACCTGCCATGCAAGTGCAAGGTCCTGAGTTTGATCCCCAGTGTGAAAAAACCAAAAAACCCACAAAAACAAATGTATATATATATATATATATATATATATATATATATATATATAAATTAGACCATTTTCCAAGGGAAAATTATAGCTCAGAGAGATTAAGTGGCATGTCAAAAATCACATAGCTTATAAAAGAGAGGTAATAAGTTATACTTCTTGACCCTAAGATCTATTTTGTTTCTATTGAACCATGCTAATTCCTCTGGTTAGCTGTTTGATTTTATTTGCAAATGGTGTTTACACATTGCTATAGGAGTACATCCCTGCATACAAAACAGAGTTAAGTGCTTGAGTCGGGGTTTTTGTTCCATGATGAAGCTATGTGATGTGTGAATCATAGAATCAAGTTCTCAGTTTCTGGGACTATGTGAGTAGGCTTCTCTATTGAATAGACACAAGGCACTGTGTAACATATAGCTATTTAGTCAAGAATGTTTCTTTTGCACAATGGAATACACTGAAAATATTAAATATAATTGCCTACCCCATTTTACAAGTGAGAGTGTGAATTGTTATTCCTCTGAAAAGAGGGCAATTTAAAAATAGTTTTTGAAATTACAAATTAACATTTTTTGTTTTAACAATTTCATGTTAAGAACTTATCCTACAGAAATATTCACACGTGTACAAGATTAATCAGAGTAGTTTTTTTTCCTAGTAAAATATTGGCCATAATTTAAATGGCCATCAATATGAAAGAGTTAAATAAATGATGGTACATTGTGTGGAGGAAGGGGGGGGGAGAAGTTCTTTGGTCCATGGAACATTTCCAAGGCCCCCTGTTGAGGGAGGGTATGGATGGTAAACATGCATGGGAGAAGGTAGATGAAGTCTCTAGGGTTCTAGAAAGAGAAGATCACCATGGCTTGATGTGCTAGATCAGAGATGTATCATATAGAAAGTATTTAGATATGTTTTATAGAAGATATAAAGGAAAAAGAAGTCCCCTTTATATCTAGTACATTCTAGTTGGGGTGTACATGACCTTTACATATAGGAAATAACTAGCAATAATCAGGTAACTAACAAATAGCAAATAACTAGCAAATAACTAGCATGATCAGATAAGGAGAATGAAATCAACCTTGGGTCTGGATGAGGGGGAAGTTGGGCTTGAGAGGGTCAAAATTCTTCATGAGAGTTTCCCTTGAGTTCGGAAAGGAATTAGAACAAGGTGAGTATGAGAGCCCGGCTAGGCCTGCCTGGCCGAAGACTCTCTTAGCAGAGGCTGAGTCTGGGAGAAGTTAGACAGGATGGGGGCCAGGAGGACCACTTTGGCTGGAGACCCCGAGACGGGTTAGAGATGGGCTCGTTGATAAGAGGAGAGTGGTAGGTGAGGCAACACAGGAGGACCTGGGAGGCCGAGATAGAGTTGGGAATTTGAATCATGTGGTTGAGTCAGAGGCAGTGGGCCGCAAACTGTCCATTCTGCAGTACAACCTAGCTCCCCTGTTCCGAGTGGACTGTCAGCAGTCAGGAGGCCCTGGAAACCCTAAGAGGAGCCCAGGATGAGGTAAAGAAGCCCAAGATAACTTGGTGCTGCCAAAGTTGAAAAAGAGAAGCAGGCACTAAACTATTATCCCTCAGCCTACCCTGCCTGGACACGACTTTGAGATTCCACAACAAATGCTAACCTCCCCCTGGCAAGTTGTAATTACTGTGACAGTTATTATCTGGGGTTTTACAGGTGTATAATGATATTGATTGTGCAAGAACCTGAGGCTCAAAGACAGTCACATTTACTTAGGCCCTGGCTCCTGGTCCCCACACTGTTGAAGATTGAGAACCAAAGGGCTGGACTGAGGTACAGCTCAGTGGTAATGTGTGCTCCGCACGGGTGAGTCTGCGGCCTCAATCCCCAGCAACCCTCACACCTGAGAGAAAAGTAAAGCTAGTGGGTACCATGTCTGCCAACACCAATTCATAGCTGAACTTAGTCTGCTGCTGTGCCCAGTGAAAAATCATGAACATTAATCTGCTTCGTGAAATCCAAGATTAATGAGTAGAAGTTAGTCTTAAAAGTTATTTTCCTAGTATTTAATCAGAACTTTAATTCATGCTTTCATTAAAAAGCATTACTAAAAATAGCAGTTGGCTTGTAAAAGAATTAAGGAGATTCTGAATGTTCTCCTATGAAAAGGGCCCCGCTGGAGTGGTAGCAGTAGAAGTGGTTCTGGACAGGATCGCTCTATCCAGAGGGGCCCTTGGGCAAGCGCGTGTTACATCTGGTTTAAGAATGAACCCCGGAGGCTGCGCCCGAGGTCTGCGACCAGGATGTGGGGAGGGAGGAGGCAAGATGTGGTTTTGCT